GAGAGAGGAGAGAGGAGAGAGGAGAGGGCACTTTACTGCAGTCTGCAGAGCAGGCAATGCGTGAGCAAAGGACTATTCAAAGGTACAGTTTTGCAACAGAAGCATAAACTGGTGACTGGAAGAGGTGGGAGCAAACTGAACAGCCCTGGATTAGGCTGATGGAAAGAGACTGAAGATTCAGAAGGCCTCTGAAGAACATGTAGGAAGGTGGGAAACAATTAAAATGTGGAATTTAGGTGTGCATCTCTCCCTCTATGCTCACCCTCACTGACCTTGCAGTGTTATTCTCTTTCATCCAGCAGATTTGTTTTCTCTTTCTACCTGTATTAATTGAATTAAAATACAARTAAAACCCAGATTTTGAAATCCATGGGTTTATAGTGGTTTGGGGGTATTTGCAATCAAGAAAAAGATGCACCTCAAAGCTCTAGCTAACTCAGGATCCTTTCTTTCAYGGCTGCATTGCTCTATTTTCCTTCCTTCCTGGTTGTAAAATGTATCTCCACTGGCCACCTTGGATTTGGAAATCCAGTTGAAGATCAAAACATACCAGGTCTAATTCTTCCTTATGGGATTTGGATCTGTGGCTAGATGTTGAGTTATCCAGTTTCCACTGGCTCCACAGATTGCACACATCCTTTGTTTCAATTTTTCAGTATTGGAGAAAAGATAAACTGATGCTGTAACATAGATTCTATACAAAATCTTGGCTTCCATGATTTATTCAAAACTGCCCTCCAAGTATTAATGCCTCTGCAATGAGGCAAATGCCATATATTAATTTAGCAAAAGTCAGGATTAATCCAATGAACAGCAAGGATGGCARTCTTTTGCCACCTCATATTAACCATTGATTAGCAGCAAATGTACAAATTTGCTTTACAAAAATGGAAGTTCAATGGCAATTTAGTAAATTAGGATTTATAAAACCAAAATACCCTATTTAAACTTCACTTCACATGGTGACAAAAAAATACAACATAAATAAGCAGACAGATATGCAGCATATACTCTTTTCTCTAGAGACTGACTTCTTGGTACATTTCTTTGTACAACAGGAATTTTAAATTAATTAATTAATTAATTAATTAGATGCAAAATTCACAACCAGGACTTCAACACATACAACGTCTCTTTTCTGAAACTATGCATAACTGCTGGCAAAACTGAACCATGGCAAGTTAGTCCCAAGAATAACAGAAACAGAAAGACAGACCACGTGTGGACAGAAATCCCCTTTTGTCTCAKTTCTGACAAATACTCTCAAGCCAGTAATCATTTTGGGAGGAAACTGTTGCTTCATGGAAACACTATGATCTATAGGTCATGCTTTCTTGCCTAAGACACATTTCTGTGGTAAATCCCCCAGTTCTCACAGTAAGTCTTGCCCCACAGCCGTCTGTGAAGGATAAAAGGTTATGAATCACGGCTCCAAAGCGTGGCACATCCTCTTGGGCAGATGCTCAGCGTGTGCAAATGCAGCCATTCCCCCAGGGAYGGTGAGACCCTCCTTCTCTGTGTTTCTCCTGTGACTTATTTTATGGCTCTTTTTATGCCCCAAGAGAGAGGACCAGGGTGCGCATCCTGAGTCCCCACCACAAAGGTTGCAGACAGGGTAACAGAGCACAGATTCACCTCGAAGTGGACAAGGCTCTGCCCTGTGCCCACCAAAGCGCTGGCACTTGGTCCCCATTCACCCCTGAAAGATGCAAAGAGCAAGCCTAAGGCAAGAKAGAGCCAAGATGCGAAGACATCAGTCTCCTGGCTGGGATGGGAAGTCTGCCCAAGCCCTATGCTCTGTGAAAACAAAAGAACCCCATGTAGCAAAGCTCAGGGCAGAAAGGCTTTTGTACAAGCACAGATAAAAAATCTTGTGTCGAATACCCAGGTTTCAGGTCAATTTCTAAAAACTTTTTTWWAAWTTTTTTATTTATTTTTTTAACAGGTATTATTTAAAGCTTCTGTTTGGAACCGGGTCAATATTACACCGGGATGTTTGTGGCAGCAAGAGCGAGCTCAGCACACGCGCCCTTTTGCCGTGAGCCAAGGATGGCGCGGCAGGCGCGGCTGGCGGGCCCGCTCGCCCCTCTCGCTGTCTCTCCCCGCCTCTCGGTGTCCCCCCTGTGTCCCGGGCCGGCCGGCGGAGGCGGGGGATGTCGCGGCCGCTCTCTCTTCCCGCACCGGGAGCGGGGAGGTCTCCTCGGGTCGGGGGAGGAGGGGCCGGGCGGCGCGGCCGCAGGGAGGCGCTGTGGGCCCTGTGCGGCGCTGAGGGCTGCCCGTGCTGCCCGCGGCATTCCCGCTGCCCGCTCGGCGCGCAGCGGCCGGGAATGGGGGAGCTGCTGCTGCCGCCGCCGCCGCTCTGCCCGCGCCCCGCGGCTCCGGCGCCGCCTCCTCCGCTCTCGGCCTGAAGCGCGCTCGCTCTCGTGGATCCCGGCGCGGAAGGGGCCATGGGCCGCCTCCCCGAGGCGCGGCGGCTGTGAGGCGGCCGGCGCTCGCTCGGGGAGCCGCGGGGAGAGGCTGCCGGCTGCCGGCCAGCCYGCGCCGGGGAGGGGAGTGCCGCTCRCAGCCGGCGGCGGGCGCGCAGGCAGCACCTCGGTGCCGGTGACTTGGGGGTGCCGCTCCCCGCCCGCGCCCGGCCGCGGCCGTGCATGGATGCGCCATGGCCACGCTGGTGTGCCGGGTGCAGCTGCTGGATGACACCGACCCCTTCAACAGCACCAACTTCCCCGAGCCCACCCGGCCGCCCCTCTACACCTTCCGGGAGGACATCCCGCTCGCCACCCAGCTGGCCGGGGTGCACCGCCTCCTCCGCGCCCCGCAGAAGGTACCGGGGGAGGGCAGGGGGATGTGAGTGGGGGGCACCGGGCGAAGGGGCTGGCAGCGGGGAGCAGAGGCCGGCGGGCGGCCCCCGGCCCTTGCGGAGCTGCTCTGCCGGCTCCTGTGCCCCCGCCGGGCTGCCCCTCGCCCCGGCAGTATCGGCATCTCCCTAAAGTCCTGGGGAGAGGCCCCGGGGGACGGCGGAGGGGTTCCCTCTGCCACTCTCCTGTGTGCCCAAACGCCCCCAAGGGCAGCTGTAGCCTCTGCTGTAGCTGTGGCTGCTTCACGCTTTCCCCAGGAGAAGAAAAACCTCATCAGAGCAAAGCCCAAGTTGGGTATCGAGTAGTCGGTGCCTGTCCTTCGCTGGCGGTGTCTGGGTATTTGGGGACACTGCGGGACAAGGCGCTGTGTCGGGCCAGCCGGGCTGCGCCGAGCACGGTCGCGCCGGCAGCACCCGGGCTTTGCCGTGGTGAGCTTTAATGAGCCAGGCAGCTCCAGYCGGGGCTTTGGTAAAAATAGCAGCGTCTGCTGCCCTTGAAACAATCGGTGCTATTAGTCCCTCTTGCGAAGAGCTGCAGCATGGCCCTTGTCAATTCTTACCTATCTCTTCTTGCGTGCTTCCTCTGATACATGTGCTGGCATCTGTAGCTCTGCCCTTGAAGTCAGTCACCAGAGCATTATCCTTGAATTTTTAGTTTTCAAAGCAATGCCATTGATTGACAAACTAATAATGTCCTTTCGTTATCATGTTGTATCTGCACATTAGTTCTGCAGAGTGTACCGAAGAAGAAAGGAAAAAAATGTCCACTCTCTTTTTTTTTTCCCGCTACAAAGTAAAAGTTGTAAAACTTTTATTTGCTCTGTGATGAAGTGGGAGGAAAATACTCTCTTAACATCACTTGTTGTATTATGCTCATGGGAGCCTGCAGGAAGATGACAMAGGGCTGTGTGTCCCCTTAGATTTAAGGATATCCAAAACCCCATAAAAGTATTTCAGAGAAAAGCTCATGGAGCAGACAGAAGTTTTGCATTTGTAGAACGGTTTCCTCGCATAATAGTTGCCAAGGATACAGCACCCAGTGAACAGAGCTCTGCCTAAAGCACAAAAACTTTGGAAGCTCTTGGTGCGCTGGGTCAATTCTGTTTTCATGTGCTCCGTCGTCCCCAATTCAGAGTGGTCCCATTGTTTTCGAGGGAGGCTTTTTTTTTCTTTTTTTGGGGGAGTTAGAGCTAATTAAAAGAAAGGCAGAGTGGATTCTGACACCTACTGAAGTAAATAAAGAAGTAGTTTAAAATCTGGATTTAGAGTGAATTCAACCTCATTTTCAAGGGTATTTCACTGTGTTATGTCTTGCTTTGCTTCAAATACCTTTCCTGGAAATTTTTTATACCTTTATACAGTAACGCCACCACCACCACCTTGGTTCAGTGTTTTAGGAGCCATCCAGAATCGATGGCCACTTTTATATGCTTAACTTCTGCCCAGTCTTTCTGCGTGCARTGTTTCTCGAGTTTAATGAATGTTTGGAAAGTGGACTGACAAACTTTGGGTGAGAGATRGCTTAAATCCCTAGAGGTGCTGTAAACCCGGCTGTTGAAAGATGGTTGCTCTGCTAGACTCAAATCCTGGCCCAGTGATTTGTTAATCTGAGCTTCTGGGTCTCTGAAATAATTTGTTTCTGTTGTGAGGGTGTAGGCAGGCTCACTGAAATCTGCTTACATGGTTACAGTTACCTTCGTGTTTAAGAGCCACTGCCTGTTTCTGGAGTGCCTCAATTATGTCTCTTGGATTTCTCTTGGCTTCTGCAAGGTAACAAAACAAACAAAAGAAAAGTGTTGATTAGACTTGTTTACCTTTACTCATTATAATGAAAGTGTAGTTCCTTGTTTGCACTTGCAGTTAGGGCAGCATTTCTGTGTTTGACATTACATATTTGCACCTGTAATTCTGTAGAATAAACTGTTTTGTGTTGCTTTCTTTTTCTATTTTATCTTTGGRAGGTGGACATATTCTTTCTACAGCTTTTCCTCAAGACCATATTCACTGATAAATAGAAGATCACCGCATTAGTTGAGTGAGACATTAGACTGAGAAGAATTTTGTTCAGTTTCACCCAGAGATCAGGRTCTGTGATCCCAGAGGAATGCAGCTGTCAAAGCAGAGCATAGGTTGAAATTCAGGTGTCGGTTCACATTGACACATCTGAGGTTTGATTGATTAATTACTCTAAAAATCAGTGAGATAATGGATTGATGGTCCATTTAGTATCATCACGGTAACTAGTGCAAAATAGCTTGAAACAGACCTAGGAGTTTCTAGCTCAAATGCTGTCCCTGCCCACGGCAGGAGAGTTGGAACTTTAAGGTCTCTTTCAACCCAAGCCTTTCTATGATGATGATGAAATGCATAGGAGCACCAATGTYTAAATAATTACTGAAGTCTTATAAACTGTTTGCCTTTTTGCYGGCAAGTTTGAATGATCAATGCTGTTTTTTTTTTTCCATTGGGTATCAAGTTGCCATCTCTTGACTTAGATCAACATTCACTTACTCTCTGAACAGAGGTGCCAACTTGTTGCCTTCACATCACTGGATGATTTGCACATCTTGTAGATGATGTACTGCTGAGAGGATGAAGTCAGTAGCGGGAATCCAGCTCACTTCAGTGGGGTCAGATTTCGCCATTGCTGTCTTGAAATTAGCAATGATGACAGTCTAGTGACGATGGTATTTTTGTAGTTAGTAAAACAACTTGTATATTGCAAATCTTTGTAAGTTAAACATGATAAACCATTTTTAAGAAAACGATTAAAAAAGTAAACGAAAAATGCTTTGACATTTGGACCTATCATAGTATTCATTAGTAGCTGTTTTGTAACCAACAGATGTTCTAGCTTGACTCCAAAGGGCAGGATTTCTTCAATCTAGTTCTTTGAAAATACAACTCAATTTCACATGTTGGTTTTACTGCTTCTTTTCTTTAAACTTACAATTTTACTTGAATCTGGATGTAAGTGTAGATCTACACATTGTCTTCTGAGCGGAAGTGTTTTTAGATCCTTATGGAGGTTCTCAGGGAAGTTAAGAAACTGAATTCAAAGAATAACATCTGGGATGGTCTTTACCACCCTGAATAATGTGGAACACCTAAGCTGGTTGATAGGGAAAACTGATAAGAAGAGTGTCTGCAATCTTTCTTTCACTTGGAATTGGATGCCTAATGGTATCCTCCCTCCTCCCTCACTCTTTTTTTCCCTGCTTCTCTCTGTGCACATACCTTCTTCTACATCCATATCTCTGGATGTGAGAACAGCAGCTTGCTGTTCATTGGGTTGTGCTCAGTTCTGTTTGGCCAGCACACTGAGCCTCATGGGGCAGGGTGCTGCTGTCTGGAATGCTTGTTTCAGCTGTCCCCCATGGTTTTGAGTGATTTGGTCCTAGATGATAATACACTATCCTAGTTGATGATGCAATAAAGTACCACAAATTCTGTTATAGTATATTTAGCCACATCTAYAAATTCTTGCTGAGCAACTACGCCACGTCGCAGAGCTTTTGTGGGTTGTCTAGATTGATTTGGCAGCCTAAGGTGCCATTTTGAATTTGGCTTTTATTGTTTATGAGGATTTTAGGTTGCTCTTACTGTCTGGTGTATCAAGTAGAACTGGCTCTAGTCTGGATTCTGACTTTAGATGTCCCTTTTGCCCATTTCTGTGAATCTTGGGAAAATTCAGAACTGGGTCTAAATTTGTGGTTCAGGCCCAGTGCCAGAAATGCTCTTTGTATCTAATTCAGTTCATTGSTTTGTTGGTTTTGAATTGCTTTGAGTTATTTGATACTTAAGACTTGCTGACATAGGGTCGCTCAGGAGAGTAGCTATATATACATGGCCGATGTCAAGTGGTGTGCTTTTTTTAGAGATCTTCTTCATTATAACTTTTTCATGTAATTACAGCATGCTGAGTATGTTGCCATAGTCTGTTTTCACATGCCACAGTAGTGTTCAGTGTTGGGGCAGCTCTACAAGAAATACTTCTTTACAATAATATAGGACATCACACTGCCTGATTTATCAAGAAAACATCATTAAAATACTTTGTGTAACAATGGAAAACAAAACAAAACAAAATCTCCATATGGTGCATATGGTGTACTTACTGGTGGTGATGGTGGAGAGTTAYTGTGCCATAAGGATAATTGTTTTGACCTCCTGTTCCCTCTGAGAATACTGGAGACAACTTCTGTGTTCAAATCCCTTCCAAGAATTTGTAATTAGGAACAGTGTCATTCAGAAAACAGTGGTATAAGCAAATAAATCCAGTGAGTGCTAGAGGGATTCAGGRGTTTCATTCATAAAGAAGCCATCCACATTTCTGTCTTCAGCTGCTGTGATTGAGCCCTATATTAAAGCCAGGGCTGATTCTGAGGCATGGTGTGATGTAAACTGATAGCAGGGATTGTTCCACTGGTTGTGTCCTGGCATGAAGCTCAGCTCTGGCATTGAACTCTGTGCCAGGTTATATCCTGGCAACAGCCTCAGGTCCTCTGAGAGCAGTAAACCCCTAACAGCTGGCTCCTCTTCCCTGGGTTTCCTTGGCATTAAGTAATAGTGTCTTGGTGCGTAGAGGCTAGGCAGAAACAGAAGAAAAAAACATGGTTTGAATCCTGATCTTGATGGAGGTACAGAGCAGATGTTCTCTGAAGAGAGCATTTTTGGGTGTAGTCATTGTGTCGTTAATGGGAGCTGAAGAATAGAAGACGTAAACTGGAATCGTGTCATTTTCCCAGGGAAAATGAACCCACACTTAGGGGAAACTGGCTGATATCTTCTGCAAGGGTCGCTGCTGAGGGACGGAAATATTTTAGTTGAGGGCTGTAAAGACACACAAGTCTTTCRTATTCTCCCTTATGCAGGTGGTCATCAGCCTTTTTTTCATCCTTTGACAGAAGAGGGGATTTAACACAATGGTTGTTTTCCAAYAGGTTTCCAATGTATTCTGACTCTAG